TTTGCATACCCCTGTTGGCCTGTTAAGACTGACAAGACAGCCTTATCGGAGGTAGCAAGGAGCTATCTGGTTATTCTACTAATTGGCTGAAATTTTCCATGTTTGAGTCTTGGACTCGTTAGCTCCTGTTATGTGGTGCTTTTCTGGCTGATATCATCAGATATGACAGTTTTACTGGGGTATGGAAATACAAATGAATCAAGGCCTGGAACATAGATCATGTAAGCCACTGATTTGCTGTTTTACCTTTCATTAAAAAAAAAAAAAAAAAAAAAAAAAAGTTAAAAAAATTAAAGTATGTCTGACTTAATAACCAACTACAAGGAGAGCAGAGCAGAAGAGTGTGTGCTTTGGTGATTTAGGGGATCTGAATTTATTTAGGGTCTTTCGCCATGACTGAAACCTGAGCATTGTGATTAACAGAGACAAGCTCATCTCACCTTCATGAATTTGTCTGATCATTTTGACTTTCATCACATCTCACAAGTTCCACAATGTGTTCCACAGAAAGGTTTTCTCTCCTGTTATCCATTATTTTCTGTTCATTTGAGCAGTATTCCCCAGTTCTTACACTTGAGACAGACTAGACAATCATTATTCAAGATAGCTGTGAACCATTGATTTATACAATGGCATAATGATATTTTCTGTTTTGTTTTCTTTTCTGTTTCTTGTTTTACTAGGAAGGAAATGTAACACATTCACTGTAGACAGTTATTCTCCCACTGTCTGACAGGAATCTGTGATGTGCTGAAAGAGCATTCAGAGCTTTAACCTCAGTCACAGCTACAGCTCCAACAGTCACCTCCTGTATTGAAACTCAACAAGCACATCCAATGGCAGGTATTTCTAAACAATGTGAAACAGTCATTTAATGAGTGAAAATGTGACACACATGCTAATTTTAAATATTGCAGATGGCATTCCAGCTGAAAAAAGAAATCCTTGGACTAAGGTTTGCGAGGCTTTAATCAATAATTTCCTAGAACTGTAACTGTGAATTGTGTAATTATCACCAGGCTGATAATGTGTTTGGGTATTCAACTTTGGCACTGTGCCAGTTTTTCCAGTACTGGCTTTGTCATTGTTTTTATTTTCCCAGCTACCTCTGCTGTGCTTTGAAGGGCATCCTTAAGTTTCTAAGGTGCACATCTTTGTCATTTAAACACCCCACTTCATGTAGCCCAATTTTCTTGATACATTTTACTTTAGTGCTCCCAAGCACTGGAATTGAAATGACACCTGGGAAGTCATCTTCCTAACACTCCTAATGACCACAGCCTGACAATGCTAACGTGCACTGTTGCATGTTATGTTATCTCCTGGCTCATTGTGTTATGTTTTAGTTGTGGAGCTTTGGAGTTATTTGAACTTCCTTTCTTTGATTTGTCACAGCTGCCCTTCATTTATTTAGCTGTTCACATCCTTGATGTTTGAGTCCTGGGAAACATTATACAGGGCCAAGAACTTCAAAGGCAAGATTATAATAATCCTCAACAATCCTTTTTTTGTTTCACTACCTTCTCTCAACATTAGTCAACTACATTCCGCTAACACTAATTTCCATTAACATTTATCAATTGAAAAACTACACCACATCTTATCTTGGTTGAGACTTGACTTCATTCCTACCTCCCATCCCCAGCCCAGCTGAGGATCCAGGCTATTTAGTGGTTCAGTCTATTCTCCCTTGTACTGAGAGGTGCACACCTCCCAGCTGTCCACTCACGGCAGCTTCTTAGAACCTCAAATGTGCACCTGAGCAGACTGATTGCAGCTGGTGATTAGTTACGTTGGGATGGCTGAATTAACTGCTCTTTCAACTCTTGCTTCCATTCTCCTAACAGGTGAGTTTCCCCCTGCTCCTGAACCCTGAAAGTTTCAGCCACTAGAGCAGCTCAAAGTGAAACAGAACTCATTTATGCTACAGCAACTCCAGAGTAAATAAAAGTCCCACAGTATCAGTATAAAACAATTTCAGGATCCTACCAAACTCCCTTGACATAACATGCACTTCCTTATAAATTGACAGCAACATGGATGGTTCAGCATCTCCTCATTTTCTCCTCAATTCAAACTCATTAAATGATTCATCCATGTTTCAAGAAAGCAACTTCAAGTTCATAGAGAAACCAGTTTTTGTCAGTTAGATCATTGGTCTAAAACATTTTCAGTGAAACTAGAAGCATATACCAGCAATAGCAGCAGTTTCCTGAGAAATGAGACATATCTAGATTTATGTTCACGTTTTTGCTGGTAGAGCAGTTGGATTCTGACTCTCAGAATGGATTAGAGCTGCGTTCCTCTAAGTAGGGGCTTCAATATATCATCCAGATACTGATCTTCACCGAACTTCTAGGTAATTTACCTGCCAATTTGGCGTGAACTTGAACAGCAACTTCGAGGGTGAAGCAAGGGACAGGCAGAGAAAGATGGTAGACAGCACAAGCAGAACAAGACTATACATTTCAGTTCCTAAGGAAACAGTAGAAAAAGCATCTTCAACCAGAACTACTAGAATAAACAAAACTGATTGGGAAAATTAACAACTAGGACAAATGTTCCTGAGCACAGATCAATGCCAACTCCTGAATAACATCCAGTGATTTAATTCCTATTGGGTTTCTGTTAAATAGCAGAGCTCTTAAGATACAATCTCCATTAACTCATGCCTTGGATGATGTTCCTTGGCTATATCAGAATCTCTCTTTTTATTTTGCAGAATGAAAAGGAGAAAGAAGAAACAGGCATGCAAGGTCACTGGAAAATGGCACAAATTAAGGTATAAATTAAACACAGCACAATTAAGCTGCTATTTAAACAGTTAGTAACTGAGTGAGCATTTACTTGGTAGAAAATGATTTTCTGGTTTACTTTAGAGGTGTTCAGGAAGAGATTTATATTTAAGCAAAATATAAATCTTGAATAAGGCTGTACACATATCAGGTTGTGCCTACACATTAGTAAAAACTAGCCAATGTTAGAGTGCCTTTGGTTTCCTGTGTACACAATGACTGTATTTCCACTTTCAGGTAACTGAAATTAAACATGAAAACATGATAGATAGCTGAGTCTTTGAAGAAGCCCCTGCACATGTGACAGAGGTAACTGCCTAATAACTTTAAAGTTTTCTCCAAGGCCAATTGCCTTGCTGGCACCACTCAGGCAAAGGACATTCTAAAGGCAGAGGATGCCTGATGCAGTCACATATAGGAACAGTTGGTCTCTGCTGGGCTGGGTACAGAACCGAGCCAGCTCCATTCTACTGGCTCCTGCTTCTGGTTCCCACAGAAAAGAGGTACGACCTCCTCATCTAGGTCATTTGTTACAGGCTTATACCAAGCACAGAGGGACTCTGCAAGTGGATATACACAACTTCGGAGTGCAGAGTTAGCTAATGCACACAGCAGACAGCTGGGACTAACATACTGCTAGGCTGAGTGTTAATATGCCCTGCAGCAAAAGTCAGTGCATGTTGGGGGAGCCAGTTCCTGACAAGGCAGGGAAGAGGCATCCTGTGCTGCTCATGTTAGAAGACTGACTCCCAGTGCTGCTGAGCCATTGTCTTCTGAGTCTCTGCTTTTGTTTTCTTCTTATGGTTTAAGGACGTCAATCGACTTCCTCTTTAATCTCTGAGCTGCAGACTATTTCCATTGCAATAACTGTGCACGCCTGTGGTTTCCACTCATCTCTGTCATGGCTTTAGCCAAGCACTTCTTCATAGCTTCCTCTGGCAGAAGGAGCCCAGATCATTCAGGCCACAGCAGGAAGCTCAGCTGAGCCCTGAGTCATAGGGAGATGAACCTCTCTGTGGAAGCCCTTTCCTAAAGGATCATGTGTGGGTGAGAGCCTGCAGATACTTGCCCCCAGTCAGACTGTCCTCACAGCTGTCAGGACAGAGCTGGGGTGGGTGATGCTGATGAATGGCAGCTGCCTCACCCAGTACCTTCCCATCCACAGCCAGGCCCCATCGGGGTAGCTCAGATGCTCAGTCTCCCTCTCTCCACACTTGCTGTCACGCTCTGGTGTTGAAGAAAAACATCGAGGGTGCCACAGCAACACTCCAGGCTTGGGGCAGAGTGGCTGGAAGCCTGATGAGTGGAAAAGGGTCAACAGTGGCTGAATATGAGCCAGCCCAGGTGGCCGAGAAGGCCAATAGCATCCTGGCTTGGATCAGGAATAGTGAGGTCCAGGGCAGGGATCATCCCCTTGTACTCAGCACTGGTGAAGCCACACCTCAAATTCTGTGTCCAGTTCTGGCCCTATCACTCCAAGAAGGACATTGAGGGGCTGGAGCATGTCCATAGAAAGGGAACGGAGCTGGTGAAGGGGCTGGAGTGCAAGTCTGATGAGGAACAGCTGAGGGAGCTGGGGGTATTTATCCTGAAGGAAAGGAGGCTCGTGCGAGACCTCGAGGATAGGGGAGACTTTATCATTCTTCAGCTGCTTGAAAGGAGGTTGTAGCAAAGGGGGGGTCAGTCTCTTCTGCCAAGTAACAAGTGACAGGACAAGAGGAAATGCCCTTAAGTTGCACCAGGGTAGGTTTTGATTGGATATTGGGAAAAATGTCTTCGTAAAAAGAGTGGTCAAGCATTGGAACAGGCTACCCAGGGAAGTGGTCAAACTGCCACCACTGGAAGTATTTTAAAGATATGTAATGTGGCACTTAGAAACATGATTTAGTGGGGGGCTTGGCAGTGCTGGGTTAAGGGTCGGACTTCATGATCTTAGAGGTCTTTGCTGTATTTCGTGGTTTTATTTTACTTAGTGCATTTTGTAGATTTTTTTTGCCAATTGCATCTTAACGGCCTATCGAGAGATTTAATTGCAGCACGGCCGGGTTTCTGCGCAGCCGGACGGGAATTGGGGGATTTTACCCCCGCTCGGAGTCGGCGGAGGAGGAGCAGACAGGAGCGCATCCCCTCAGCGCCCGCCCGCGCCGCTCCCGCACGCCGCCAACCGCAGCATCAACGAGCGTGCGCGCGCCGCCGGCGCCCGCCCGGGCGGGGCGGAGATGGCGGGAATGGCGGCGCTGGCGCGGCCCGGCCCGGCCGCCGTGTCCGAGCGGAGCCGCGCCGAGGTGGACGCCACCCTGCAGACGGCCAAGCTGAACCCGGCGGAGCTGCTGCCGGCCGTGCACTGCCTCAGCTTCGGCCCCCAGGCCAGCGCCGGCGACTGCTGCCTGCTGCAGCTGGAGCCGGGGCTGTGCGCCGAGCTGGAGGCGGGGCGCAGGTACGGGGGCGGGGGGCGGTGCCTGCTTCGGGCCGGGGGACTGCCCTCACGCGTGGGTTTGTCCAGACTTCTGCTCCTCTTGTGGGGTTTGCGTAACTGTCCCTTAAATCTGTCTCAGCTGCACTGGAAACTAAAGCTATTAACATCTACAAGACTCTTTTCTTTTCTCCTCTTCCTCTTCTCCCCTCTCCCTGTCCCCTTACGGAAAAATATATGCTGTGGAGCTTTCCAGCCAAAACTCAAGATGCTGGAACAGGGTTAGGTCATGGCACCAAGTTCAAGAAAAATTTGGACAACGCTCTCAGGCACATGGTGTGATTCTTGGGGCTGTCCTGTGCAGGGCCAGGAGCTGGGACTTGATCCTTGTGGGTCCCATCCAACTCGGGATATTCTGTGATCAGACGTCTGAGTATAGGAGATTGTTTTAAAGTAGTATAAGAATTTAGACAACTCAATTCCAATTAAACATTGATAAATTTATTAAGCAAGCGATAATAAAGCAAAGACAGCGCTGGGTGGTCTGGAGGGCAAGTGCCGTGCCCGAGACACACACCACCATGTAGTAAATGTCCCCTTTTTATACATTTTCAAGTCCCGAGTTTTGAATGCGATTGCTTTATGACTTGAGTTCGTGGCTTGTTGTTGAGTGGTCATCTGGGATTTGTCAGAGATAAAAGCTGCAGTTCTTATCAGCTGTAAATTTTACCCATACTGATACTTGTTTGTTTAGCAAGATGTCTGCAATTATTTTTACTGACACTTGCTTGATTAGCAAGTTGTCTGTGAAACTTATCTTGTTTAATTACAACAAAAAGTTTCTGACTCCCTCATACACATAAGGTTTTATGAACAAAGTTAAGATGAAAAACCCGGATTTAGAGAAGAGATTATGTCTCTAGCAGAATCATGCTGACTTTGAGATTTTCCTACTGGAGGTCTCGAGGTGTGATGGATGGCACAGTGCCTGCAAGATGGACAAGCTGGCAGGGAAGGATGTACAGCATTAACACAGGAATGTGGTAGGATGGTTGTAGGACATCAAACTCTGGACCAAGAACAGATAATAGACAAGGTTTTGATACTGTTTTAAATTTCTTCCTTCACTGCAATGCCAGTGACATAAGAAAAATGTTTATAATGATACAATATGAGAACTCCCTCTAAAGAAGGTAGTTCTCTGAGATGAATGTTAGTGAGCCCATTCCTATTTAGTGATAATATTGATAAAGTGTCATTGGTTAGAGGCCTGAATCATACAGCTGAGCTTTGTTCATGCATGCTGAAGGGTGATCAAAATATAAAGCAATAACACAAGATTGTAGCCTTAGATGCTTACTAGCTAATTTTTAGATAGAATTAGGATAGAGCCTTGCTTGCTTATGCTAACTCACAGACAGGATATAGTTAATTTTATAATGAAGACTTTAGCGGGAACAGAAAACCTTAGAGTTTAGATAAGGGGCTTTGAAGCTCATGATGAAAGAGACCTTGAAGGTTGATAAAGAGAGGGTCCTGGTGAAGACACCAGTTTTGAGTTAATTGGACAGTGCCAACTCAGCAATTCTTAGCAGAGGTAAAGAGTTCAAGCTGAGGAAGACTTCTTACTTCATCCAAAAGACCCCCAAAGACCCCCAGAAGAAAACCCCAAGGGGGTGTTCCAAGGTGGAGTTATAGGAGCGGTGTATGTTAATGATTCTCCTCCCGCTTTTCTGGAATTTGCTGACACAGCTAATGCATATGTAGCACAACTAATGCATATATAACATTATACTGCATAAAAGGAGCTGAACAAAGGCAAGGGGTGTGCGTGATTGGAGGAATTATCCCCCACGCACCCAGCGCTGTGAATAAACATATCTGCTTCACTACTCTTTGCGAGTTTTGGGGTTTGTTCCCGCAAGTCAGTGCAAGCTTAGGGAAGTGAGAGGAGCAGTTGATTAAGTTGAATCTGAGCACTTAATTTAGTGTAGGCTGGGAGGAACTCAATGTTCCCATGTTGTGGTCCTGCCTTGGTATTATCACGTCCTCACGAAGAATCTCTACTTAATCAAGTGTGTGAGCTGAAGAGGGGGAGTTGCATTGTCTCTTTGTCCTGAAATGTTCTAGAAGATGATTTTCTTTCCTGCTTGGAATTATTTGCAAGAAAATACATATGTTTTTGGAGAGGAAATTATCTGAAGGGCACTGCACCATAGACACAATTTTTGTTTGCCTTCTTTTTTCACAATGGACCAGTTTCAATCCTCATTAAAGAAAACTCCAGTTGTAATCTAGTTTCTAAGATTAATGAAATAGTTCAGGCATTAACCATCACTTAATCAGTGTTTTATGGGGGTTGTGTGAATAGGCATGTGAGGAGGTTTGACTGTGATCTGCATAAAAACTTTGAATGCTTGTCTTTTTGACTTTTCCCACACTGAAATGAGAGGAAAAAACACGGTCAATTAGATTAATTGACAATTGCACCTTTATATTTTGGTGTACTGTGACTGCTGCCACCAACCAGAACTTTTGTTTATAAATTCTTTACAAATGTATAAATATGAAAAAATATCAGACAAGTTTAATAGGTGTTCCTCTTGAAATAGAGTTAAAAATAAATCTTTTTTTCTTCTTTTTTTTTCCCCCAGCCTAGTTATCCGTGGTGAAAAGGATGAACAAGCAGTGTTGTGCAGCAAAGATAAAACTTACGACATGAAAATAGCAGATACCTCAAATATGCTGCTGTTTATTCCTGGTTGCAAAACTCCAGAGCAGTTGAATGCAGATCCAGCATCTTGTAATGTTATTCATTCACAGGTATGTCTTTCTGGGGTTTTGTTTGTTTGCTTTAATTCTCTACTTTCTTAATTTATAATTCTTGTATTTTATCCATGTGTGAAACCCAGCTGGGATTCACTCCCTGAACACAGGCTTGTAATGCCATCTTAAATGCCTTGTGATATTGCTATAGCTGCAGGCTGACACTGCAGGAGGACATGAGTTCTGTTGGTTCTTTGTACATTGAACAGCTCCAGGTGGATGTCTTTATATAAATATGCTTTATACACAAAGGCATGATTTCCTGTTTGCATGCAGAGATGAGTTGTTACCTTTGTCTTATGCACTGTGAACATATTTTTATCAATCACCAGTGAATGTTTATTTTTTATTGCCTGTGGTAAATTTTTTTATTGAAAACATTACAATGATTGTTTTGTCTTCAAACTAATTACTCTATCAATAGATTCTTGTTTTCAGTGACTAGATTTACACTTTCTGCTGATAATTTTTGGTAAGCAGCTTTGAATCCAGATGGAATATTTAAAAGTTTTAAGAGTTTCTGTTTTTTCTTGTAGATTGCTGGTTTCTCCAAAAACTATTGGGAATTAAGGAGATGTCGACCAAAACTGAAGAAACTAAGGAAGCTTTTAATGGAAGATCCATATGAAGGGCCTAGTATTCAGAAAGATGAGACTTTGACATTTTCAAAGGTAAATCAGCTAAGTAAATTGCTTTCTTTTAATTGGTAATGAGCAAATTCAGGTGAAGATACATTCTTAACTAGAAAAATGCCTTTCCTCACATGATTCACAGTGCTCCTCTGAGTTAATTTTTTTAAACCTAAACAAGCTGGTAAGTGTTAACACTTCCACTGAGTACATAGATAAGCAGCCTTTTTATTAGTAAAAAGAGGAGAAAAGGAAGGACACAGAAAGAGACTGGGGATTTCCCTCTTCATTTGGGAAGCTTCTTGGAAGACAGTCTTCAGGACCTTTTCTAAATTTCTTGAGAGTTATGTGACTACTAAGGTATAATGCAACCTTTCCTTCTTTGGCAACTTTGGCACATATATGATATGTTATGTATGAGATCAGAGCACACCCATGTGCAAGTCACTTGCCAATCAGTAATTTATGATGACAAGGAGAAGCAGGGAGTTGAAGGAGAATGATATAAAGCAGGATGATATAAAGCAGAGAATGGGACTGACACTACAAGAAGGGAAAACACAGAGAAAATCCTGTTTTGCTGCCCTTTTATGTTTCCAGGCAGTTCAGTTTAGGGTCTAAGGAGTAATGGAGAGATCTGGACTGTGGGGCATATGATATCAGATAAAAGGCTGATAAAAATTGTGGGGTTTTGTTAGTTTGGTTAGTTTTCCTTTTGATTTTAAAAACACAAAGGCTTGCTCCAAAGTATTTTATGCTGAGGCTTGATTGAAGCTGACCCAACAAGTTACCTGTGTGAGATTGGATCTGCAAACATAGATGTTACTTTTCTCCCTTGGAGAGACAGGCTGCCTCTCTCTTCCTGGGTGATTAACAGACTGATTTCTGATCAGTTTCATAATCTTACCCCCAGAACTGCCTTTGCCACCTACTCTGATCTAGGCATAGAGGGACATACAGCAAAATGAGGGATGGCAGAGGTAGAAGGGCTTAAGTTGTCCAGAAATTATAAGCATTGGCATAGGCTAGCAACACAACAAAATGTCATATGCAATAATATTTATTCATAATATTGAATGAATGTTATAAAAGCATGTCAGTGTCTCCCACACATTAGTGCCTACTGTGAGAACTGACCACCATTTATTTTGAAGGAGAATGTATTTCCTCTATGAGCTCGCTCGATACAACTAGATGTATCAGATACGTGTAGATGAATCTCACCTTGTCACTGATGAAACTCTAAATGAATCTGAAACCTCTCCAGGGGAAAGGTCTTTCCTATGGGACTAATTCTCACTGGAATCCCAAACAATATGTGTGTAGTAAAGATTTCCACTGTGTTATTTGCTTACACTTAATATTTTTCATGTACTGGCAACTAATAAACCACCTTTAATCTGTTTGAAAAAAAGTTATTCTATTTTGGTGGTTTCCTGTAACCTCCTCATGGTTTTCAGGGCTGTATCATACACAGAGAACCCCAGCAAAAGAGCCATAAGGAACTATGAGACTGTGTGGAAGCCTGTTGCATAGTGATGTGATTTAGCAAACTACAGGAAAACTTATAAATAGACTAGTACTGAATTTTATCGTGAAATGACAAGGCATACTCAGGTGATCACAGTCTGAATAAGGATAAGAAACATACTAAACACGTTATCTGGAAAGTGCTGGTGTGGACATGATGCAAGTCAATCCATTCCATTTTATGTTTGCAAGGATGATGGAGCTGATAAAAGCATCAGAGCTGAGAGCAGTGATGTCTTCAAAAAAGCTGTTAGGAGTGCTAGCCAGACCCCAAAGCAGGGAAAATGCCAAGGTCTCCTGTGCAAGGCATCTGAATGGCATCATCTAACTTACAAACACACATATTGATTTGGGGATGTTTTTAATCTCAATTGCTAGTAGTGTTTCTTTAAGTATTATATAATAAGGTTGTCCTTTGCTGACATACTGATGGGAGCTTGTCCTGATGATATTTAGACAAACTGTCTAATAAGAATGGCATAGCAGGAAGAGGAGACCTTTCTATATTTATTAAATGCCTTTTTAACGTGTGGATGTTCCAAACATAGTGTTGGTTTGTTCTATTTGTGTTCTCATAGATCTCAAGTACTCAATACAATACTTTTCCTTCTGATAGGAAATAAACTGTAATCAACAGAACTTTAACATTAGAGTGGATTAAATAGGCTGTAAGGTGAATAAAAGAATTGATGAAGTCTTATTTCTGATGGATTGAAGGCTGGTATTTCCTCCATTGACTTTACTCTTCATGATACTTTCTGTTCCTACCATGTCTTTACCACAGTATCCACAGCACCTTCCCATCTCACCTCATAACTGTATAAGGAGCTGTATGTACTGTAGCTGGGTCTGTGCTTCATGGCTGCTAATTGGATAGCAGACACCAAAAGTGATAAGTGATTTTTGTTTTGCCTTTTCTTTGAATCTCACAGGTTAATATGTGTGATTTTAGGAAAGCCAGAATACATTAACTTTTCATTCTTGCTGGGATACTTTACTTACGATGTCCACGTGTGCTAATTTGTCATCCTGGGAGTACAGGATGTACTTATGTCTGGCACAAAAACTTTCCTGTAGTTGGACTGGCTTATATTGCATAACCCTTTGAGAAAATGTTGTAAGTTATAGTAGAAGCTTCAGAGAGTGTGGTAAACCTTAGAAAATTCAGACTCTGAGGAAAACCACCTATGTTAAGTCTTTCCTTCATTATAGCTTACAATGCATTTAGCATGCTTGCTGAAGCAAAGAAGGACTAATGATAACCTGTTTTATTTCCTTCTTTTTTTCCCTTGTTGCAGTATACAACAGAAGATTTGTTAAGTCTGATTCAAGCAAGTGAAGAAGAAATACTCCATCACTTGCAGGTTATAGATGCCTGCAAAATTGAAGGTAGTCATCTCTGAAGAATATTATTGCCTATGAGGAAAGAACCCTGCTATTGTTCCCAAAATACATGACTCCTGTTTCTAAGGCTCATTCCACATCCTTGTCTTTCAAGGTGCAAGTTACTTCGAAGTTCTAAGATCTGCTTCCATAGTTCTTTGTCTTCCAGTGCTATGGAGCTGATCAAAAGAATAAAGCTAAGCAGGCACTGCCAGTCTGTCTCTTCCTTCTTTGCTGCTACAAACACTGGCATCAGAGTATCCCACCCATGAATATTTTTTTGGCTGGTTGCCCTCTTCATGAATGAGTGGGTACTGCTTTTTGCAGTTCTAGAGGCAAAAATAGCTGATCCTTACCTAACTCCAGTCTTTTCGTAGTCCTTTCTTCCTCCCAGACTGGGTTTATCTCAGTGTCTTCCTACCATGTGAGGCAAAACCTGAGCAAGTGCCTCACCTTGGGACAGGTCCTACTCATCCTTTACCTGGCCATGCCCAAACCCTGGGACATCAGGTGACAGCAGTCCTGGAGTCATAGACTGAAACAGGGCAGAACTGAGCTCGGAAGGTTATCAGGTCCAAACTCCTGCTTTAGAACAGAGCCAGCTTGTAGCTGGAGGCTGAGGGCCTTGGCTGATTGAGTTCTGAGCATTTTTAAGAATGGAGATTGCACACCCTCTGTCAGGCTGTTCTGGTGTTTGACTATCTACAAGGGGGAAAAAATTCTACTAACCAGCTGGGATTTCCCTTGTTACCTCACATCCCATCACTGTGCACCACTAGGAATAATTCTGCTCCATCATCTCCGTACCCCATCCCATTATGTAAACAAAGATCTCAGAGCTGACTTCCCTTGTCAGTGACACCTGCACAGCACCATTGTACCACAGCTGTGCTTTGTCACATCTGGATTGTTGTGGACTTACCTGGACCTGAACTGTTGCTTTGCAGTGCCAGTGCAGCCAGTTCTGTTTGTGCAGTTCTATGCCTCTACTAATTAGTAGTTTCTCCAGGTCTGATCCACCTTGGGATAGGATTTGTAGTGTCTGTGGCAGTTAATCTACATGAAGAGTTATGAATAATTGAGATGATTAAATGTCATTCTCCTTTACATTTGTTCTTATTATTTAGTTCTATTCCTCACTTTTAATCCCTAAAAAGACAGAATGTTGCTGCTGTACTTTGTAAAGGTGTGACCTAAATGTCCAGATTCTGTAGTGTATCTTAATGGGAATAGAATTAAGGTGTTAATGTTTTCCTTCTAACAGTGTTTTGTGCTGTTCTGTTCGGCAGGATATTGGAGAATTCTAGAATTCAACTATGAGATGAAACTCTTGGATCATGTGACTCAGCTGATAGACTCAGAGTCCTGGTCTTTAAATAAGGTTCCTTTACGTACCTGTCTGGAAGAACTTGGATCTCTAGAACCCAGGTAAGCAATTCTTTTTAGTACTTAAAATTGCCTACATTCATTATTAACTATTATTAATACAATATTTATTAACTGTTTATTATGATTATAGTCTTGTGAATCTAGATTCCAGTTACCATGGTGTTAATGTTACATTTCTTTTGCCTCTGAAAGTATACAAGAGCATTAGTAGTTTAGACAGGTAGGTTAGTAAACTGATTCTAGTGTCTACTGGTAGTATTTCCAATTCATTCAATAGTAGATACATTACTGCTGAAGTGTAAATGATGGAACTAGCATGTAATTAAGCTGTAAATGGCCGACCATCTTGAAATGCCTGTTCTGAACTATAGCTAGCCAGAAATGCGTAGTTTACCTGTTGCAAACTGTCTGAGATGGGGGTATGTTTTCTGGTGTAATACTAAATTCAGAATATAAAACTTGAAGTCATGAAGTAATTCAAGATTACCATTCAAACAAATTCTTAAGTTTACAATATGTAGCATTTTCCATTCATTTGGCATTTGACTCAAAATGAGATCTTGCTTTTGTGCCTGCAGTTAGGCTGTAATTTTATGCCAGAGTTCTAGAAAAATGCCTACTATTCAGTGAGGGTAATTAACTGCCAAATTTTTGACTTGCATCCTAGAATCATTTGGGTTGGTAAAAGACATGACGATCATTGAGTCCAACCCTTAACCCAGCACTGCCAAATCCACCACTTAACCATCTCCCTAAGTGCCACATCTTACACAGGTTTTAAATACCTCCAGGGATAGTGACTCCAGCACTTCCCTGGACAGCCAGTTCCAGTGCTTGACAACCCTTTCTATGAAGAAATTCTTCTTATATCCAATCTAAACCTCCCTTGGTACAACCTGAGGCCATTTCCTCTTGTCCTGTCACTTGTTACTTGGGAGAAGAGACCAACACCCACCTGACTACAACTTCCTTTCAGGGAGTTGCAGAGAGTGATATGGTCTCCCCTGAACCTCCTCTTTGCCAGGCTGAACAACCCCAGTTTCCTCATCCGCTCCTGCAAGACTTCTGTTCCAGACCCTTCCCCAGCCCCGTTGCCCTTCTCTTATTTTTTCCCCTATACCTATTCCTTCATCATCTTCTTGGTAACTGTTTTTGTGACATCCTAATGAACCATGTTAAACTTGATTTCCGATTATTTATTTTTCCAGAGAGATGATAGAACACATTCTTTTAAGCTATGGGAGGAAATATGTTGATGATGGTAAGTTTGTGAAAGCTTGCATAGTTTAACTTTGCATAAAGGAAATACTTATTAAAGAGGAAATGCAGATTTTGTGAGGATGGCCCAAACAAATGAGTTTACTACAGTGCCAGTAAAAGGAGGGAGAAAACCGAGCTAAAAATCAGTACAGTTGTTAAAGGCAGTTTCATATGAAAGGTGACTATTAAAGTGTACAAGATAATAGTGAAAAATTGGGAAATAAGAGGTACTGGAAGTGATTTATTAGGTGTCTACAAGCCTTAATTTTGTGACTAAAGACAGATCACTAGTAAAATTTAGATGGCATGTCTCTTTGGATACCCTAGGAGGTCTCAGATATTTAGGCAACTAATTGTGCTGTTGTGAACAGTCAGTGGCATGAATTCAACTTGCCTAAGTAGGGATCTGCTTTTGGTCCCTTGAACTGCACCACAAGATCCACTGATTGTATTCATTAAATTTCCACTGCCCATCTCACACACAGACATAATATTGAAGTGCCTTACTCTCAGTCTCAGTTCTTCCCCACAGTGGCTTTCATCTCACCATTGGCTTGAGTTGCACTCAACCTTAAAGGACATAGGAAAGTAGTTGGAGTGGCAACAGACTGTCATCTTGATATATTTAAACAGGTTGCACAAGTTGCACAAGGGACAAGCCTGAATTACAGGAAGTCTGTGACTGAAAAAATGGAAGGACGTGTTTATACCTGATTTTGTTCAGAGAATTTTAGTCAAGGCAGTGTGAGAGAAAATGAGTCTCATTATTCCCTTCATCATCTCAATGAAATGAAAATTTTGTTCATTGTTCAACCACAGACAGCAAATGCTTTAATACAAGCTATTCAGAAATAGGAATGAAAGCTGTAGGAGAAACAGTGTACTGTGTAAGGGGAAAAGATGAAGGGCAAATACACTTATTGATAGGAATTAATACTGGAGCTGGGACAGTGCTGCTCCATTCTGCATAATTTGTTCTTGAGAATGACAGGATACCATCATTTATCCAAAGTAGTACCAAGTCAGATTACTTCATGAGAAAAAGAAGGAAGAGGATACTTGGTTTACAGCAGACTGTAAAACAAAATGGAAATACAAGACTGTTTTCTTTTATCAAAACCAGGAACCCAAGATATAAAATATTTTTTGTTTCTCAACAGGGGAGGTTTACTTTGAAATGCGTGAAGATAAAATATGTAGAGCTGTAGCACAAATGCTTTTGCAAAATGCAGTGAAATTCAATCTGTCAGAATTTCAAGAAGTCTGGCAACAAAGTGTCCCTGAAGGGATGACAACAAGGCTTGATCAGCTTAAGGTAAACACATAAAGAAGGATGATTTTTTCATGGATAGACTGTAACTGATGACTTGTGTCATACATAGAGTTTATCCATTACAGAATGTTGATTGTGCTGTTTCTGTCAGTATTTGAGTTAAAGTACATTTTATGATATCCTTTATGAGCACCAGTAGTCTGGAATCATCATAATTCATGTTTCTGTAACTCTGGCATGTTTCACTCTTTGAAGAAAAGTTGCAGCTGTGCAGTTACTACTTGTACATGTAACTGGAACAGAGGCTGAAGCTGTTGTTGTAGTGACAACCAGTAGAGTGGCAAGCACTGTGGGAATCCTTTGCTCAAAGGAGGCAGACAAAGCTTGGAACTCAATGGATTCCCCCCTCCTTCTTGTCATAAAGGAAATTACAAATATTGCCTGTAAAATGGCTGTTTTATGTTATTTCTTCACTTCGGATCTGGTAGTGCACTTCTGGGAGGCTTTGGATGTGCAAAGAGCAACTTGTATGGAACACTGACAGAAAGAAGGAAGTTTCTTTTGTCTTTACATTTTCTCTCTTATGCTGATCTACAGGGCTTGGCTCTTGTGGATAAAAGCTCAAGACCAGAGACCATCTTTCTGCTAAAAGTAGAAGACTTACCTGAAGACAATCAGGAAAGATTCAACAGCTTATTCAGAATACGGGAAAAGTGGACAGAAGTGGATATTACCCCTTATATACAGTAAGGACGTATTTCCTTTTATTAAAATATAATTAGCATTATAGTCTTCCCTTTTTGCACTGCTGGCTTCTGATGAACTGTCTGACTCAAATACTATACTTTGCTTTTAAAATGAATATGAATTCTATATGAATAAAATACCTCTGACGTCGATAGCTCTATTTGCTGGGTTTAAATGTGTGTAAAAAGCTCAGTCTACTGGATTGAGATGGGTGATAATGTGTAGTTTTGCCTAACGTAGTTTTGCTTAAATGTCAAGCAAAGTTCTAAAATTTAAATTTTTAAAGCATTATGTGACAGTTACAGTAGTTCATTTTTCTTTTCTCCTAATATCCTAATCCAGTTTATTGCTATGGTTACAAGTATTTCTTGGGTTCATTTTATCTGTTTGATCATATCTCTAATACCAGCATCATCTGCTTTGTTTTCTCCACAGAGACTTGTGTGCAGAGAAGCAGACTGTTGGTGCTCTCCTGACAAAATACGCTCGCTCCTCGATGCTGAATGGTGTTAAAGTTTATAATTCCAGAAGACCCATCTCATAACAAGTTCTGTTTTATGAACTGAGGATACTGAAGGGAGTAACAGTGAACGCTGCTTGTTCCTGCCTTCTGGGGCAAGTAATTGCCAACCAGTGTTGTACAGTGTACTGGAGTTAGAGCCACTGAGCTTCTTGAATGAGTCCTGTTCTCTGCTCAGCTAAGTAGAATGTGAGGGCACTTGTGTCTTCTGAGGAACTACAAGTTCAGCTCACCTTCCTTTGCCCACCAACTTCTTTTTCCTTTGTGTCTAGTTAAGCCTGGAGTCAAGCTACTTCTTGAATACACTTTCATCTGTCTATTCAGAAGCTAAAATCTGACATGAATATCTAAAACCTTGATAATAATTCAGTCAATTGAATTGATCTGAACAGGAAAAGGGAAGTTTAGTCTTTTGCCCATTAGTGACCATTCTTAAAGATGTCATTGATGTTAGTGAATAGTGCAGACCTTGAGAAGCTCATGAACAAATCATTCCTGATTGAGACTACACTGTTCTTAATTTTGAAAGGTGGCTCTTTTTATGGTCATGTCCATGAATACCATTAGAAAAAGCTCTTGACATTTTAACACTTGGCAGAATGGCTTTTTAAATATTACAAAAACTGCAAATTGCACTGAAGTGTGAATATAAGAAAGAGCAGTTGGACATTCATTACGTTATGAGCTTCCTATAAGTTGTCATTAAAACGTAGCTGAGGTAAAACTAGTGCTTTACAGAAGACTACCTGTGCTTTTAAAAGAGAACTTACAAAACTTTGTACAGTTATTTTGTATTTTTAAAAAAATTTTGTTCTGGCAAATAATTGCACAAAGAAAATTTTGCCTTGAAAACTTACAGTGGAATATTATTCTGTGTAGAGTAATGAAACAGGAGTTTTTTATATTGCCATGAAGTGATGTCCCTGACATTGAAATTTTGTAGTCATTAAAAAGGATTGTTTGTGTGTCAGTGAGCTGGAGTTTAATGTTAGACAGTCTTCAGATTTATTATTTAAACTTAACAGTTGTAGGTTATTTGATACAAAAAGCATTTGCTGCATCGAACTCAGATGTCGGGTATGAAAAACCTTGGAACTGCCAACATTCCAGCTGTAGGGTGAGTGGGGAGGGGAAAGAAACTGTAAATCAAATGTAACTCTTAAGATGGATATGTGCATACTTGGAATTTTGTTACAGATAAAAAGCTGAATAAAAACTATTTCCTAAGCTCTGTTTATTGCTGCCCAGCGCTGCAGGGTTCCCCGTGCTCCACAGTGTTGGTGCAGGGCTGTGGTGTTTGACTTAGGAGGGCTCCCTTGCCGGGAAGAACTGCCTTGTTCCCTGTCCTGGTTCCAACAGCTGTGGGCTTCCAAAAGCACCAGAAAGTTCCCTCTTGGAGATCAATGATAATATCAATGTAAAAGCCTTGAAAATTCTTTTCCATTGCATCACAGGAGGTTCCGGCACAGTTGATAGTTTTCTAGTCTGTGGTCCCAGTGTATATTTACATAGAAAACCTGACATCAGTAGGGGTTGGTTTGTGAAACAAGTAAGAAATAAAATTGTATCTGGGGCACGAAGTTTAGGTTGGATATTAGGAAGAAATTTTTTATGCCGTAATCAGACAGTGGAATGGGCTGCCTAGGGAAGTGGTGGATTCACCATCCCTGGAGGTTTTTAAGATGAGACTGGATGTGGCACTGAGTGCCATGGTCTGGTAACCACGGCAGCGTTGGATCAAGGGTTGGACTTGATGATCTCAGAGGTCTTTTCCAACCCGGTTGATTCTGTGATTCTGTTTCATGAAAAGTGCTGTACTACAGCACATCACAGTGTTCCTGATTGTTACATTGGGCATTCAGCATGAAATGACGCTTTCAAAACACCATCAGCTTCTTTGATGCAAGCATTTACTTAAAATAAATGAACTTATCTCGTGTCCTCCCGATACTAAAAGTAGAGACCCCGGTGGGCTGTCAAGGAGGGGGCCGTTTTGTGGCGGTGTGCCGCGATCCCAGCCGCGTTCCCGAATTAAATCCGGTGTCGTTCCCAGCCGGGGGCCGATCCCGCCTTCCCGCGGCGCCGCCGCCCCTCCCCCTTCCCGCCGCAACGAGGCCCCGCCCCCGGGGGCGCGCGCGAGCCGCGGCCCCCGCGCGCCTGCGCACGGGGACAGGGCCCGGCGTCGTTCGCGGGTGTTGGATTATTTTTGGGGGTTATTTCCTTGTTGTGGTTTTTTTTTTTTCCCTCTGGCCGTAGCTGCGTCGTCCTTCTGTAAAAAGCAACCCTCCAAAAGACTTTCCCAGCCCTAAAGCAGTAGAGCTCCGTCAGTCGGTCCGTGACCCCTCACCCGCCGGGGTCGGAGGTGACGGCCAAGATGGCGGCGGCTGCTGAGGCGCCGCTGCGGCGGCCGCGCTGCTGAGGGAGAGACCCGCGGGCCGACCCTGCCCCGGCCCGGCCCGGCGCCACACGGCCCACCCGGCTCCCGCGCCGCTCTCCCGCTCTCCGCGGCCGGCGCTGCCGCAGCCGGCGCTCCCGGCAGCGCGCACCCCGGTGCCATCCCGATTCCGTAGCTCCCGCCGAGCCGGTCGGTTTGCTCAGTTCCTGCGGAGAGGAAGCGCCTCTGGATCCTTAGCGGACCCCCTGCGGCAGCAGGGCTGCGTGTGCAGACACAGAAGGTCATGTACAGACACTGATTGTTGTTGGAGGTGTAACGATGGTGCTCAGTCGAGCTGGGGATTCCTGACTGCTGGGGGTCACGGATCTGCTGAGGAGATGAATGGTCAAACACGACGCGACTCGGGGAAAAGTCGAAGGACCCACTGAGCGAGGATGGTGTCGGTGCCAGTCTGACAATCAGCAGTGTGTGTTGAGCGCTGCGGTTCAGGATGAATAGGAAGAAAGGAGACAAAGGATTTGAGAGCCCAAGACCATATAAATTATAAGTATCCATTTTTTTTTTAAGTTGCTGTACTTGAAAGTAGTGCACACTGAAACAGGCCGATCAGTAATGATTTATCTGAGAGGGTTGGAGCTATTGTTTGTGTTCCTGCATTCAGAAAACGTGTGTTGCTGGTGTATGTTTTATTGTATAAATGGACTTACCTGTGGAGTGAGTCTGTCAACCATGCAGTCTCATCTTTTGAAGATGTTCACATTTTGCTCTTCAAACTTTGGAGATTTTCCACACAGCGTCAGTACTACAGACCATACTACCATATTCTATTCTTATTGCTATGTCAAATCCTTTCCACTTAAGGTTTTTTTTATGTATAAAAAATAATATTTGCCTTTGCAGCAAGCAGCTTTGTTAAGCAAATTGTCATTTTTACACACTCACTATTTTGTTTGTAACCAAGCTGCAAAGCAGTTGGTGGTGGATTCCAGTCCATCTTTATATATTTCTCTCTATACCCCCTTGAATCCTTTATAAATCTGTAACGCAAATGTATTTCTAAATAGAATCATTCTTATATACAATTAAATGTAGGTAATGTCTGAATTGGTTTTTAGGTGTTACTCTCTTGTAGGAATTTTTGTCATACTTGAGCTCAACTGAAGCAATATCACTTTTTAATGTACAGGGTACATGAGGATGTGCATATAATGTGTGATGTGTCATAAAAGTTGAATTATTACAAGGTTGTATCTTGACTCATGAATTGCACTACCTTAATACCAGTCTTGATCAGTATGTAACCATTATTTTAAATAATAAATTCTTACTGCATGTTCATTGTAGAAGCACATGCTTCATCTTTTAATGTATAATACCTGCTTACATAAATTGTGTGTGAGAGTCAACTCACCAGATAAATTTTCTGCAGGTCTCTGATTGCAGTGGCCACATGCCATTTCTGATACTGCACGTCACTGCAGTGTTAGGCCTTGGCACTCTGGCATTAGTACTGCTTTATTTTTGCATAGAGATAAATGATGTTCAAAAATGATGTTGGTATCTTCTGTAATCTTCCTAGCAATACTCACATTGGTGTGATACTATGTTTGATTTTATTAGAACTTTCTTGGCCTTGTGTGCAACTTTTATTCATTATTTGGTTTAGACCACGTAAGCAATTTAGACAACCATTAATTCTTCTTGCATAAGTATATTCTATTTGCAGTATTTATCTATATGTACATATATCCTGTATAGCTCTCTATTTTGTTTTTAAACTGAGTTCAAGTATCATTTTAAATGCTGGCATTTATGCAAAACTTTACTTATTTTAAATTTTTCTTTTTTTCCAGTACAACTCACCAGGTAGTTTGTATCAACAACATAAATTTTCAGAGAAAGTCTGTTGTAGTAAGTATTTCTTAATAAAATGTGAAAGTAGAAATTAAAAGTCTGGGTTTTATTCATGCTTTTAGAGGAAACAACTGCACACACAAGCTAATTATGACTTGTTCAGCTTCTTCATACGTTATATTTTCAAATCTGATGCCTTGACATGCATCAAATAAAATACCTTCTAACTGAGAACACTTTAATCTCTGTACAAAAAAGCTGTCTAAATGAAGACCACTGCATTGCAAGTAATATTACAGAGCAGTTTACGGTTCAAAATTGACGTTCGCACAGTATTGGCTGATCTTAGAGATAGGCTTATAGAGTTTTTTAGCCTATATGTGAGTTCACTGGGCCCTTGAAGAGACTGATTATTCCAGGCCTAAAGTCACGGAGGGTCTTTGTGAATTTAGATATCTGCTTGAATGGATTCTGCTTAAGTTTTAGAAATTTTCTCAAGCTCAGATACCAAAACCTAAATCATAGTGATGAAAAACATAGTGATGCAAATAACTTGAAATCTAGTCAGTAGAGGCAAATTATTTCCAGTAAAAGAAACATGATTGTTCATTCATATTCAGTTTGTTTTGTTTTGTTTTGTTTATTTCACAGGTGGGAAAATTTACCTCTTAAATAGCAGGAAAGACAATCTACATGTCTAAAAGGGCAAACCAGTCTCCTTTTAAAATAAATACCTTTCTACCAATGATTTTGTTTGAATTGTGCTAATAAGAATTCTTTTATATCTCCCTATTTTGTGAGTTGGTGAAGATTTTACAGAAGGTTTTGTTTTGTGTTTTCATAGGGTTATGTGGAGCTGACAATATTTCCCACGGTTGCAAACCTGAACAGAATCAAGCTGAACAGCAAACAGTGCCGGATTTACAGGGTCAGAGTCAACGATTTAGAAGCAGCTTTCATCTATAATGATCCAACGCTGGAAGTTTGTCACCATGAGTCAAAACAGTAAGTGGTGTGTTTAAAATTCTGCAGGTATAGGATTTTCTGTTGCTCTTAAGCATGACCTGTTTTATTTTACTCTCAAGTTTTACCTTGTAGTTTTCTTATGGTGACTTTTAGTATAGTGACCTAATTTTGGGGAAGTATTCTGGCAATAATTTTTCTTCTTTAGAATTTCTTTTACTAACATAGCTTTGTATGGTTTTGTAAAAGAATCAAACACTTCTTTAAAAAGTACTTTATAGGGAAAACGTCGTTGGATTTGAACTATTTGGTTGTGACAGATACTCTGTATTCCTTTGTTCATCACTTATGCAAGAGCTTCAATAATTCAGATTGCAAATAGAGTATTCATTTATGTGGGACACTGGGTTGGTTATCAGAGCTATGAAATTTTCCTTTGAGTCCTGATACTGAACCACTCGAGTCTATTAGTTCTGTAATTCTATTTGGTTTGTGACTTGATATTTTTGTTGTTGTTGCTATTGGTCGTTATGTCAAAAATTCAGAATCCTCATTGGAGGGATTCTAAATTGTTATGAAGTGCTAGAAGTAAAGCTTTGACCTTTCCTATGGAATCAAACTTCCATTATTTCTTGTTCCAGATAAGAGTATAAGTCTAGCAAGTTACCTTAACTCACTTTGAAATTTGAAAAAAAAGTTTCAAATTTATTTACCATCTGATATGGAAGAGCAAATTTAAAAACCTGAATCATCCCACATGTTTTGGGGAACTAATATGGGAAGGGACTTCAGTAAAAATTTTTATCTCTTTGATTTTTTGTAAGAGAAGCATGATGGGCAAATGTTTTCCCTAAGTATTCTCTTTGATTTACTGAAACTTATGTTCATGTTCTCAGACCTCCTTTTGGTTGAATTTACAATTTGCTGACGTGCTAAAGAACTTGTGGTGAGAGTGTTGTACATATTAACAGCAGTTGATATGAAATCACAGAGACCTCTAGGTTGGAAGGGACTCACTGACACCCAGTGCAACTCACCTGCTCGCACAGGGTCAGCTAGAGCAGGTTGCACAGGGCTGTGTCCAGTTGGGTTTTGAGTATTTTCAGGGGTGGAATCCCTGCAGTCTCTCCAGGCAACCTGCTCCAGTGTTGATGACCCTCACAGTAAAAAGCATTTTCTTGTTTCCTGGTAGAGTTTCATGTATTTTAACTTGTGTCCACTGACAGGGCCAGAGGCAGTGGGCACAAACTGAAACACAGGAGTTTCCCTCTGAACATCAGGAAACACTTCTTTACTGTGAGGGTGACTGAGCACTGGCACAATTTACCCAGAGAGAATGTGGGGTCTCCATCCTTGGAAATGCTCACAAGTCATCTGGACATGCTCCTGAGGTGCAGGGCTGTAGGTGGCCCTGCTTGAGCTGAGGGGTTGGACCAGATGAGCCCCGGAGGTTCCAACCTCAGCCATTCTGTGATTCAGTAGTAACTGGAATCCTGCATAACTTCTGGAAGATGTGAGAAGGGAGCAGCATTTAAAATGATCAGAATGAGCATTCCATTATGTTAAGAAAGGGATTGGGAGAGATAATTCTATAATTTTGTGCAGAAAGTTGAGTTTTTCTGTTCAAACTATTTGAACTTAATAGAAAATCTTTGTATTTCGTAACTCCTGTGTTATTCATAGTTATGAAAGACAGGGGTCACCAAATATTCATAACAAAAATTAGTATGCCTCTTTCTGTATCTCAGAAGTCAAAGGCAACATAGGGTACAAACTATTAGATGAAACATGTATTTTTCCATTGAAATTGGGTAATTAAATACAGCATCTCTGCTCTTAAGTCAGGATTGCAAACAGAAATGCTAGAAATCTAAAAACTCTCCAGAAGTAGGATCTCAAAAAAAAATCATCAGTGGGTTTTCTCTGCCCTTCATTACAAAGAACTGCTTCTAGGAACAGCAGTGGTTTGTAGTAGTCTTTAATCATCTGGTGAGCTCTTCCAAGTTCTCATTTGTTATGGCAAGTTTAGTGATGATGTCCTTCCTGCCCTTGCAGCTGAACTAGGCTACAGCAGTTACTTTGAACAGGACACAGATTAGACATGATGTTTTGCCTCTGATGTTGCAGAGACAGTTACCTTTTGCACGGTTTTCCTCAGTAGTCTGTTTAATTAGTAAATGTAAAGTTAAGATGTTTCTTGGTAACCTGTTTGTTTAAAATAATTTGTTTTCAATCTTTACTTTTTCCTTGTGTGTGTAGCAAGTATAAGTTCAAGTTACAAGATTTTATATACAAGCATTTTCTTCTTTTTTTTAATAATGCTTTTAGTCCCTTAGATGAATGCATAAAATCATTAAAGTGCATAAAAATCATAGAAGTGTTAAAGTTGGAAAAGACCTCTGAGATCATCAAGTCCAGCTGTCAAGCCAGCACACCACCATATTCACCATTAAACCATGTTCCACGTCCACATGTTTCTGAACACTTCCAGGGATGGTGACTCCACCACTTCTCTGGATGGTCTGTTCCAATGCTTTACTACCCTTTCTTTGAAGACATTTTTTCTTAATATCTAATCTGGGGCATAAGTATGTAGAAAAGACAATTTAATGTACCCTTTTCTACTTTTCATCAAAGTTAAGATAATTTAAAGACTTCTTAGTCCCTTGTTTAGAACCAGAACTCCATTAAAAATGGAAGAGTCTGTATGGAGTGAAGATTAGAAGACTTGCTACAGTATCCCTTACTTGAGAGATTATGTTTGCTGATTGGATGCGAAAGTTAACAGAAATGGTTTATTGCTTATGTTGTGCAAATTTTGACGTGCAAAAAAATATAGTTAAAAAGGGTGGAGAAACTGGAGATTAAAAAGACCTTTATCTGTGCAATTGTTTCTGCCTCACAATATTCTTTGCTACTTCTTGGGTGAGATGTCAGACCATCTATGTGTTCTGAATTTAAATATTCAGCATGTTTTCAGTTCAAATAATACTTCCAGGTTTTATCATCTATTGCTGCAAAAATCATTGACACGTGGTCTCCGTCGTTTCACATATTCTGTGTTGCAGGAGGTGAAGCAATTTTTTTCAGTCTTGTATGTTGTCCCTTTTGAATATCCCTCCCTAAAAAGGTAATTAAAAATCGCTAAAATTTGTAGGAAACATTAGAAACTGTTAATTAGTGCATTAGGTATATTTTCAGCTTTGATACCATTGCCAGTTTATCTGTCAGTCCCAAACCACAGTTTCAGGTAATAAGTGAATGAAGTTTTAGCGGCTTATCTAGAAATAAAGTCAAACTTCCATCTTGTAGTTTCCTTTGAGGGCTTCAGGACAGTATGGCTTTTTATATCAGAATAGAGGGATGAACTCAGATAAGGCAGTCACTTCCTCCCTGACTGAGCGAACACCTGAGTAGTGCTGTAAGGTATGACAATGTTCACACTGCTTTCCCATGTGTACACAAGGTGGCAGAGAATCCCATTTTTGCTTGTACTTTTCAGGAAGAGTTTGAAATCTTGCCAAGACTGAAAACAGTGTTGAAGAATGTCTCTTCAGGTCATGTTTTAGGGCTGCTATTTTTGAGCTGTCTCTGTCCTACTTATCTTCTTTCTTTTCCTTGTAATTTGTTACTTTCTTGATTCTGTCAATATAAAGGAAGCAGAATTGTTTTTTCTGGGCTATAATATGTAGAAATCCTACAGTGTGTGCTTTAATACTGAGACAACTGCTTGTATCTCGGCCCTATTTATTTAAAACTGGCAAGATCTGTTTTTTCTTAATCTTATGGGTGAGATTGTAAACTGTTAAATAGGTACAGCAAAAGTTCAGAGTTTTGATGTAGTGGTTTGATCTGTGGTAAGTGAAGTTTGTGATGATCCTGCTGGTGCCTGGTTATGTGCTTCGCATGTTTGTGGGGTAACTAGGATGCCAGGCTGAGAAGCTACTGCATTTTGTTGTTACTTCTATGTAAAGGAAGCTGTGTTTTTGCATAGCTAGCTAATGTGTACGTAATGTGTTCCTGTGCATTGCATGTTCATTTGCCTTTTTTCTAGCTGGAAGCCTGTAGTTTTTAAAGATAAAAAATATGAAGATGTTTTTATATTATTGGTCTTCACTGCTGCTTTAGTTACAAGCAGCAGTAAGCTGTGATAGAGCACAATGTGGTAGCCTTCAGGGCATGTCTCTCTTGCAGTATTGTTCTTCTGAGAAGTCAGTGATCAAGCCTTTAGCCTTTGCACAAAACAGAAAAATTTCTGGTGGACTGAGTATGTGCTGCTTTACTGCAGTAAGTAGCCTTCATTTCCACTGCTTGGATGCCTGTAAAATTGTAAATTCATTGTAGACTTCGTGAGAAATAAATGAAGTGTACTGGTTCTGGCCAGGACAGGGTTAATTTTTGCAGTAGCTGGAAGGGGTTGTGGCGGAAACCACCTCACATCATTTTCCAGGGATGGGTGAAGGACTTACTGCTGGGTCAGTGCTGATGTAGCAGGGTATTGTGTTTGTGCCTCCAATTCTTCTCTCCAGCCAACCGAAGGGGAAGGGGGAAGTGATCGGTTGGGACATGGTTTGGAGTGTTTCTGTGGGAACAATAAATCGGGGAATACCATTCCTGAAACACAACAGCCTTATGTGGTGCCTAATGTTGGGCACGGAGAGTTGAGATAACAAGAGGTCTATGTGGAGTGGGTTGGAAACAAATTTATCTAAGGGTTTGTTGTATCAGGTAGGGAGCCACTGGGCACAATGTTGCTTGGTCTGTTCATGTTGGTGAGGTTCCTAACCCTGTATATGTTTCTATATATGCACTATTTGCCCACCATGGTGCTCTTTTTCAGAGCGGGAGAGGGATCAGGATTGCTCTGTTTTTGTGTTGTGTGATACCAGCTTATGACAGGATAACACCAAGGGCAGTGAGGGCCATTTGGGATGTGTATTCAGTGTTGTTCTCCTACCCTTACCTCAGGCGCTGCCTTTGGGAGTCCATTAATAACTGTAACCAATCCGTGGGGAGAGAGAACGGGGGAGGAGAATTTTTTT